CCTGTGGGCTCAGATGATTCTTGGTGCTGAGCCATCGGATGATGGTGATGATGATGCTGCACGGATGGCCGACAAGACCTCGAATAGTGCTTTGGCAATGCTGAGGAGTATCAAAGAATCCAAGATGCTGAGAGTAAGACAGCAGTAATGGCACGGATGGCGGCGAGGATGAGGCCGACGTGCCGTAATGGTGGGGACGATAATGATGGCAAGACTGATAACCCTAAGCCCCAAACCTTAAACCCCAACAATTGATAGCCCCAACAGAGTCATGAGCCATTTTGGCTTCAGGATCTGACTCTCGAAGAGGAGGGCTGGCAGTCCTACATCTACACATCCGAGAAGGACCCAGCTCGGGAGCCATCCGTGACAGAAGCCCGAAACCCTAAACCCTTGCGTGTGTATGTGTTGTATATTGCTCTCATCTCAGTAGCCGTGGCCGTAAGCACAAGTATCATCCTTTGATCTTCATTGATTATTCTCGTCACTCTTCGTGGGCACTAGAGCTCAGTCCAACAAGGTGTGCAGCAGCATCCGGGGTCTCGCCGCTAAGTGTCACTATCTCAGTCTTGCCGGCAGCAAGAGTGCCAAACGCAGAAGCAGGATGGGAACGGAAGAGTGGCAATACTAGTGCATGGACTGGTCGCAGCAGGGGTAAATAGACATCATGAGACATAGTAAGATTAGCTGCAACAGCAACAGTAGCAAGCATTCCCGGGAACTGGTTCGAGTAATACGAGAGCTGATGCGTGTCACAGGGGATAAAAGAAAGTACCAGAGAAACACTAGACTAGCAATCATATATGAAACGAAAATCACTGCGAGTCGCTGTAAAAGACATGGACTTGTATTGAGATGCTTGTGCTACAGGACCCGCATTCCTCACAGCGTCTGCAAACCGAGGGAGCACTACAGCAATAGCCAGAATAGTAAGAGTAGGAATTGTCAGGCGGTCAAGTTCGCGGAGATAGTGGCAAGAATAGGAAGCCTACTTTCTAGCAGGTGCGGTCATTACAGCTTTACCATTACAGTACATTACGACGAATCGTTGCATTATGTGCTGAGTGCAGCAGTCGCCACGGATCCTGGTCACTGGTATCAACTATGAAGTCGAGGTGCAACTAAGGAGAACTAATTACAGCCATTTACCAGAAGCATCAACCACCACATGCACCACTCTGCAGAAACATCGCAACCACCCCCCTAGTGCCTGCAACACCGCCTCCACCACAGCAGGCGTACTGCCCACCACCCACATTTACAACCCCCATTTATTCATCAGCCCCAAAACCCTAGCCCCCAAGCCCCTGTCCCAAGCCAACCCTCAGCCCATCGACGCCGGAAGCTTCGAAGCCTTGCAAGCCTACGCACCAGAGCGACGCTCCCCGCCCTCAACCTCCGAGCGGGTAGCTGCCAAGCCTTCCACCTTTCTGAAGGCTTCTGACCTCTATATAGACCCTATAGACCCTAAACCCTAATTCCCAACAGAGGACCAGGACTGGGTCATGAAGAACTGCCCAAAGACGCAGACCATCGCCGAGCCCTCGGAAGATCGAAATATTCGGCGAGTTCTCTAGATCCGGGTCCCTTTTTCGGTCCCCGAAATAGTACGGTATCCAAACAAAAGGACCCCAAGAGGGACTGGAATTTCGAAAACTACGCACATGGTCAGGAGCTGACCAGGGAGTTCCAAGAGCAGCTGGACCAGATCCGGTCGCACAAATTCGGTGACTGAGCGAAGCTTCCAGGAAGTGTCAGAGTTAGCGCTCTCTGATGTTTGGTTCTGCCACATCAGTAGAATGCAAAGACCAGATTTTCGCGCCGGGCGCCAAATAGCAAAATCAATCGGTTCCTGGATGCCCCCTGCCCTAGGGTCAAACTCTCATCAGCAGCTCAACCGCCACGCATCCCGTCTCATTCCCGTCCGCCAAGACCCTAAATAGCTGCCTAATAGCTGTTGCATGCGAGCCAACTTGCTTGCAGCACCACCGTGTTGGCAAGCAGACGGCCAGCAAGCCCGAAACCCTAAACCCTAAACCGAGGGGGTGATTAACAGATCGAGACAGGTCTGTGACCTCAACTTCCGCTTAATAGCAGCGGAGCTTGCAGCTCAAGGCAGCAAGGGTAGCAGTCGAGTTTGAAGTCACGGTGAAATGATGGCTGTAACATCTCTCGTGCGTGGAGTCGCGTGGAGCAGTCCTAGTGCGGAACGCTTCGCCAGCCCAGTAGACGATTGGTGGTTTTTAACTCCGTCATTTGTTTCATTGAGACTTATTTGAACAGTTTGTTTCAGCATCATCAGTGCCACCGCGTTGATGTTCAGCAGTGTTGCGATGATTATGTCATTCCTATTCTCATTGCATGATTCATCAAGATTATCATCGCCACCATCAATGTCAATATCGTTATGATTCTGCATAACCTCCCGAACAACAGTCCTAGTTTAGTACCTAGAGGGATCATGTAAACAGGGGGATGTTGCGGGTTGCTTTATGGGCAGGCTTGTACATCACGTGGCAAGTGTGCCACAGGCAGTTGAAGGAAGTTAATATGCCAGAAACATGTCATGACTACCAGAAAGGAAGCCACATGGAGGTTTCCGAAAATGGGGGACCCTAATATAGTACCCCAAATATTAGGATCCCTATTATAAGGACCCCCAAAATAAGGTACCCCTTATTTTCTGAGACTCCCACATGGGTTGTTTTGGTGGTGGTTGGGCTTCCCTTTAAGAGATTCGGGAAGCCTTAGGCTGAAGCGTCAGGTTTTCCGATGAACTGGCAGCCCCAAGCCGAACCTAAAATCCATCGTTATGGTTTAGGGTTTAGGGTTTAGGGTTTAGGGGTTTAGGGGTTCAGGGTTTAGGGGTTTAGGGTTTAGGGGTTTAGGGTTTAGGGTTTAGGGGTTTAGGGGTTTAGGGCCTCTCTGCGAAGCGCAGAGCCCAACGCAGTTGGCCATCGAGTTGTTTGACTTGAAAGATACACCGGACGGCTCGGCCGACTCTCCAAAATGTGCTGGGCCCCTAGAGAAGTGCGCGGGAATGACGGGATCCCTTAACCCTAAAACTCCAAATCCTTCTTGGCAGCCTCATTAAGCATCGAAAGACCTGATTCTTTGTCACGGCTCCTTTGGCAGTTTGGACCCTGGCAGGAAGCAAGGTGCTACTATTTCCCTGCACCCTAAACCCGCTTCTCCGAGTTGAGGCTTTGAGGAAATAGAAGTGCAGGGGCTCCCGAACAACCTCAGCATCTAGCCACAACGGTCTTTGAGCACTGGTTTAGGGGTCAGGATTGAGCTGCTTTCACAATTAGTTAGCATATACCATTTCCATTTGTTACCAACCACCCCGTAGCACCCGAACCATAATAATCTATACCTCAACCCTAAACAAAACCGAAAACCCAACCTACGACCCACATGATGGAACCACCAGAAGACCCACACCAAGACCCACATAGGAAAAAACCCAACCTCAACCTCATACACCAACACCTCCATAGAAAACCCCACAACTCCCAACCCGAAATCCCTCACCCTAGAAATGGAAATGGTCTTCTTAAATAAAATAGCTATACTAGGAATAAGGTTTAGGGATAAGGCAGGAATAAAAACAAGAATAATATGATTTTGTTGAATTATTATTGTTGGCTTATTCTTTAGGATTGATCAGCTCGCCATAATATTTCTCAATATCCTTGATACTTATATTAATTCACTGAACAGCATTTTTGGGTTTTACATCTAAATATTTAGTGTCTTTGCTTCCATCGTTCTGACAAAGTATTTCAATATGTTCAATTTCATCCGAATATTGCTTTATTAAAGTTTTATCTTCTGAAATTTTGACTTCTAAAAGAGATACCACACGTAACATTCAAAAACGTCTTCATTATCAAAAACACCTTCACAAATTTTTAATTAGTTTTCTTAACTCGTTAACATCATTTACATAATCTATTTTGTAATTTTAATTTCATAAATCCTCTTGATATACTTCACTTGCATTTTATACGTATTTAAATTCGTACAACCCATTTTCCTCTTAATATCGAGTTGTTATTTGTTTAAGTGTTTTCTTTAGAAATTCTTTTTCTTAAGATTTCACAACAGGAATTTCAATAACTATCCTATGCATATGCTTACCGAATAACATAACATAGTCTTGTAAAAACTCGTCGATCATCAGAAACTGATGGACGTGATTGAATACTTTCTCAGGGTCGGATTTAGGCTTCTCGGGATCGGATTTAGGTTTCACAGGATCGGATTAGGGTTTCTCGGGTTCTTCCTCATCAACAAATTCATTAGGGAATTGTTCGTTTAATCGTTTGTGTATTTCCTTTTTCTGCTTCTCGGCTTCCGCCTCAGTTTCTGCTTGTAATTTATCGTTTAGTTTGCTTCCTTTCTTTAAATTACCTAACTTCGTTAAACAACCTTTCATTAATATATTTAGTTCCGAGCTCGGATGTAACGCATAATGGACATGGGCATCCCAGTTTTCGTGTTTTATTTTATGTCCGAAGAATTGACTCCCATTTGCCCTCTCCTCTCTTCTAGCTTGGTTATATTATTTCTTATTCTTGCCGTAGCATTTTCTTTTCGCTTCTCGACGTTTATTACACGTCTTACAACCGTCAAACTCTTCAACACCTTTAGTCGCACAACACGATTTACATACTCGATTTTCCATCTTTCTATATCAAAAAGTCTAGTCTTTAGGCACGGTTAGACCGAAACAATACTGAAATGATTTGAAATCCTGAATTAAATCATTAGAACATTGCATGGGGATAATTGGAGTGTTTTTCTCCTTCCAAAAGCACGAAACAAACTGATTAGACCATTGACCACCACATTCTATTGATGCGCTTGCGGAAGCACACGGGGCACTGGCATGGGGGCACTGTTAACATACAACACAAAATAGTTTTAAGATTGTTTTAACAATTCTTCTAACTTCTAAAGCCTAAAGCCTCTGTACTCGTAGTACCTCTGAGGCCATGGGTTGTCTCGGGGGAGTTCCCGTGCACAACGGTCAGGCTGAAGGGGAGGGGGGGGGGGGGCAAAACAGGGCCTTCTCGGATTTCAGGGTTTTAAGTGTAGGGTTTGGTTTAGGGTTTAGGGGGATTTTGGGATATCAAGTTGAGGTTGTTTGGAAGGTGGGTTGCGTGGATTTAGTGGGGGTTGAGAGTTTGTGGCTTCGGCGGGTTTGGGGGTGCAGGCTTACAGATTTAAGAGCCAGGATGCGCTCTTCCCTGATGTGTGCAACTATGCATTCGTGCATGTTGGTATCTTATGTATGTATTAACGTATGTGCGAGTGGGTGAGTGCGTGAGTGAGTGTGTGTGTGTGTGTGTTTGTGGACGGTCCCCCCCAACACCCCACAGCATACTGTAGAGGCCTTTATGATTAGAAGAGGGTTTTGGGAGTTCCTTGTTATATTATAGTATAGTTAGACCCAAACCCAAACCCTATTCTGATTATTAAGGCCCCCTATATTACTGTCCTAAAGCTGAAATTCCAAGCTTGAGACACGGTAAAAGACTCGTGAGATCGCTCCAGCACTCGGAGGTGGTGGACCATGCAATGCCTACCGGCTTCCGCTACAAGTGCCTTGCCGACACTAAGTCCTACTGTCACAGCTATTGTCATAGTAGTTTAATCCATGGCATCCCTTGTTCTTGCTGCCAATCGCAATGTCTCTACCGCCGGGATGATGGATGATGATGATCATGATGTTGATGATGATGACGATGATTGCTGTTGCCATCAATATTATTACTGTCGTTGTTGCTGCTGTTGATGTCGTTGTGGCTGTGTGGTTGTTGTTGGAGTTGTGGTTGTGGTTCTGGCAGTGGTTGTTGCTGTTGCTGCTGCTGCTGCTGCTGCTGCTGCTGCTGCTGCTGCTGCTGCTGCTGCTGTGGCGGTGGCGGTGGCGGTGGCGGTGGCGGTGGCGGTGGCGGTGGCGGTGGCGGTGGCGGTGG